GCTGGTGGTTGGCAACTGTATAGCTTCCTCTAATGCTGGGGAGGAGTAAACCCCCAAGAGTCTTAGCTACTGGCGACATAAGCGAAATCGGCCTGTACGATTCGCCTTTACTGGCATCCTTGCCTGGCTTAAATAGCGGGACCACCCGGCCCATTTTCCAGGTTTCGGGCACTATGTGGGTGGCTAGCGACAAATTGAGAACTTACGTTTAGTACTCGACTTCCGGCGTATCCAGCTGCTTCAACATTGCCATTGAGATTCCGTCCGGGCCCAACGATTTTGATGACTTAGCGTTACGGATGACATTTGCAACATCGCCCATCGTAAACTGTGGTGGTTCCTCCTCGGCGGGAAGAGATCTGATACGACGTTGTACTCTTCGCTTCGCCCTATCGCTCTCGGCGTGCTCGTCAAATTGTCGGTTAAAATATTCCGCGCACCTCTTCGGATCAGTCACCGTTACGTCGTTAAAAATGACTGAGTTCCTATCATCCTTTTTTCCAGCGTTCGGGAGCGACTTAACCGTTACTCACAGCCTACTCATATCAGTTCCAATGTTGCAGCACTTTAGTTGGTCTAGCCACTTTTTCCCCTTATGCTCCTGTACCAACCAGTTGACTTCCATTGTCAAATCACTGATTCTAGGATCAGTAGGGTTGGCACGACGGAGATCATCACGCTCGTTTGCTAATCCCGCTACCTCTGGTCTTATCTCGGGTATTCGCCCAGCAGGTATATAGCGAGCGGAGACTATTATCGGGAGATGGTCTGAGCCAAGAGAAATCACGGGTTACCAAGTCACGTCATTTATCAGACCGGGTGACACTATGCTTAAGTCTGGCGAACTGTGACACTCTCCTCTTATTCGGGTGGGGCATACTCGTTAACCGTGCAGAATGTGTCATTTATCAGACCGGGTGACACTATGGTTAAGTCTGGCGAACTGTGACACTCTCCTCTTATTCGGGTGGGGCATACTCGTTAACCGTGCAGAATGTGGAGCAGTCAATCTGCTCTGCCAGCGCTGATCCTTTCTTGTCATTACCTAGGACGGAATGCCACAACTCATGGTGGGCATTAAAATCCCCTAGTACCAGGCGGTTATTGCCTACCAATAATGGGCTAATATCAAGCAAATAACGCGGTTCACAGCTATTAATCGGCGGGCTATACACATTAAGCACCTCTACCTCGGCAGTTCCACACTTGACTGCTACCCCCATACATTCCATGTATGGGTCACTAGAGACTAGCTCAAGCGAGATAGTTCTGTACTGAACAGAATGGTGTAACAGAAACGCTAATCCCCCACCTCCACTTCTGGTGCGATCCTTCCTTAGCACGTTGTAACCATAACAACGTTGTAGGCTGCAATTTTCATTCAGCTTGGTTTCCTGCACCGCTGCGATCTTAATATTCCTCCGACTCATAAATTTCACTATCTCTTCTATTTTGCCTCGGTGTCCGTTGCAATTGAATTGCAAGAATGATGCACAATCCGGAGTTGGAACAGCAACATGGGGCGTTAGGTGCTGCGGTGGAGTGCCATACTCTGACGACGTCTCTGATGAGGACGACGAAGAAGTGGACTCGCTGGGGACTACGTTACTGCAGCAAGTCGCAATATAATCCTTTTCGCTGTAGTCTCGCAAACGCCTTAGTCCGGAACAGTTCTGGAAGTGCACCCATTCTCTACATCCATTACATCGCACAGAAACAGATCTGTGTTGGAAGACGTTCTGACAAACCGAGCAGAACCAAGGTCCGAGGTTTTGGGGGCTATACGAAGACGTGGACCTGCACCGACAATATCCTGTCTAATTCTGTGGCATCCATTACGAACAGCATATACAAAAATTAAAAGAATTCCGATAAATATTGTCGCTGAAATCATCATAATACCAAATATCGGAAGGTACCGTTATATTTGGGCTATACCAAAACGGGCCATTTTCAATACCAAAAGTCTTGCAGACATAATATACTTATGAGTAGAATTTTATCAATCTATTTCACTTCGTTCGGAAGATATATATATTTATATATATATATATATATATATATATATATATATATATATATATATATATATATATATATATATATATATACATATATGTATATATATATATATATATATATATATATATATATATATATATATATATATACATATTTATTTATATATATATATATATATATATATATATATATATATATATATATATATATATATATATATATATATATATATATATATATACATATTGTGGGGTCTTAAATGTGTTACAAAAGAGGTGTTACAAACGAAATGAAAAACTCAATATACCCTTCATACTATTATATAATAAGGGAAAATTTGCGAACAGATTACCTGTGTTACGACGACCGATACGAAGAGTAATAATGCCGAAAGTGGCGTCGCCGCAAACCATTACTAGTTAGAACCGTGCTTGCCCGATCATGCAAGCGGAGGTTTGGGCGATTTCAGAGTGTCTGAACAGGCTTAATGCTAACACGAGACCGGCTACCGTAAACGGCAGCAAAACCGCTAAAAAAGCTAGTACATCCAAAACAGCGAATTCAAAAACTGTTTTGGAATGTATAAACTCAATCAACAACTATCCTCAACACCGCTCAGTACGAATTATATGGACACCAGGTCATGCGGGACGCTAAACGCGTCACGTGTAAAGTTAAAAAAATGTGCCAAAACGCACACATATCCCTATGGAACAATGAAGGCGTAGGGAAAACCACAAAAATCCTTTGGGGCGACCCCAATAACAGGCATTCTTACAGGGCATCTGAGCCTACAAGCACATCTGTATAAAATTGGATGTTCAGATAATAGCATACGCAGGGCATGCTGGGAAAATGATGAAACATTGAAGAATTTTCTCTGTCAATGCCCAGCATTTGCAAATATTTTTTCGATCGTTCCCAAAGCCTCACTTTCCCGCCCCAGCTGACCGAGGGGGCCACCTCCCCATAACGTAGGGAGCACGTACACCCCATAGTCCGGATTATAGGGGGTTTGTAGACTTGGGAAACCGGCTATACTAGAACATCAGCCGGTTTAAAAATTAAAAAGTATTAAAGTATCTAAACTAAACTACAGTAAAACTAAACAATACAAATACTATATAACAGAAACTAAGTCTGGCAACTATTTTATAAACTAAGAACGTAGGATAGTGTTTTTTATGACATGCAAGGGTTCGTGTTATATAATTTATTATAATCAGCACATAAACTTTGGAGAGGATTTTTTAATACATAGTTCGATTTTTCTAATGTTAGTTTAAGTGGTATGTAATAACGTGTATTTCGCGAGGGGACATTGAATTTAATTTCTCCAGTTAAAAACTCAGAATCAATTTGACCACGCAAAAGTTTGATGATAAAAATACATCTAAGCATTAATCTCCTTTTTTCTAGTGTAGGAAGATCGATACGTTTAAGCCGATTCTCATAAGGTGGGAGAAGTTTATTTGAATTCCATCCTAAACCTCTCAGAACAAACAAAAGAACTTGAACGTAAATATATTTTATAGAAAGGACTCCAAAGTACGCAGCCATATTCTAAAGTAGGTCGAACAAGGCTGATAAATAAGCGTTTGGTCACATAAGGATCGTCGAATTCCTTTGACCAACGTTTTATAAATCCTAGTAAAGACTTTGCTTTATTAACACAAGACTCTATATGTAAATTAAAACGTAATTTGTCTAATATGACACCAAGATCAAGAAACGAGTCAACATTATCCAATTTGTAAGAACTTATGAAATAGTAGTAGTTCATATGCTGAGATCTATACAAGGACAATTTTTTTTATTTTTTTTTTTTAAATTTAATGACATTCCATTGACACTACACCGATTTGTAAGAGAATACAAGTCCTGTTGCAGATTAATTTAATGACATTCCATTTACACTACACCGATTTTTAAGAGAATGTAAGTCCTGTTGCAGATTAAGAGATTCGTTGTGAGAATTAAGAGTGCAGAAAAGTTTAAAATTTTGAGTTGCGAACAATGGATGGAAGGCCATTTAAATAAAGTACAAAAAGTAGTGGACCTAAATGGCTACCCTGAGGAACACCAGAAAATACTGTAATATATTTAGAGAGAGTATTATTAAAAGATACCTTTTGGGTACGGTCATGCAAATAAGACGATATCCATTTTAGGAGAATTGTAGAGAAACCCATTAAGTCAAGTTTATATATTTACAAACTAAGCACCACCGTATCGAAAGCTCTACTGATTTTTTGCGAATCCAGTGTGAACATTAGAGACCAGTTCTAATAAATTTGTCGAAGATGATCTTCCTTTAACAAAAGCATTGTGTGGTGATACTATATATGTAACGCAATGAGTTATTCGTTGTGTAAACAAACGCTCAAAAAGTTTGGGAATTGCACTTAGTATTGCAATGCCCCTATAATTTTCAATCTACTGTCGGCTTCATGCAATGGAATAATAAAGCTCGAACGCAAAATAAAAGGAAAATACCCTAGGGTTAACGAAGTATTAAAAATACTTGTTAGAGGAAGATATAGCTCATGGGCACATGCTTTTAAAATGAAAGACGGTACACCATCTGGACCCTGTGAATTGGAACATTTCAATGAAAGTATTTTGATCTTCTATGCTTATTGTATGTTGTGACAATGATTGACATTGTAAGTCATAGTTTGTTACAACTCTCTATCTTTTCTCTCTCTTTTGTCTGTTCCTTGATACCGAAACACGTTGTCCGAGTTAGCTTTTACAGAAAGTACGCGTGTACCATAGCCTGATTAATAAAATACATTAAAACTAAATTAAAACCAAAGTTTTATTTTCGCCGCAACATTTTTTGGTCCGCTCGAGCCAGATGTTAAAATATTGGTGTTAAAATATTTAACAAAAAATATATACCCCGCGTAAGTGAAAAACATAATCACAATGGCTATGAATGAGGTTAAGGTACGCGACTCAGCATCCAGAGGTATATGGAGGCTAGTAAGAAGGAAGAGATGGCTATTAATTTGGAAATGGCCCAAAATTATAGTCTGCTTCTGGAAGAGCAGTGGAGACGCTTCAACCAAGCCCTGGAAAAGGTGGAGATATCTTGTGGCGTGGAATTCCAGGTGGAAGAAGAAGCACGTATTCAAGCTGAGGAATGGTGCCTGCTCTCAAAGAGCAATTTTGACAAATTGCTAGCCGCGCATCCTTCAGTAGTTCAAATTGAAGTCGCCTACAACCCACAACATTCGCCCACGGATGCCCCTGTTGCAACTGCATCCATACAATTGCCGAAAATACAGTTAACAACATTTGACGGCAGACCATCGGACTGGGTATCTTTCCACGATACATTTTGTTCCTTGATACACACAAACACCAGCATCACAGATGGTCAAAAGATGCATTACTTACGCAGTTGCCTTAAAGGGAAAGCTTTACAAGCTATCAGCGGACTTAAAGTAGGTGACGCAAATTACTCCGAGGCCTGGAACATTTTAATAGATCGCTATAAGGTTATGCGATTATTAGTGGAAACGCATTTACATGCAATTTTCACAATAGAGAAGTCTACAAAAGACACAGCCGCATCAATTAAGTCAATACATGGATTTGTATTGCAACACATTGCTGCTTTACGTGCACTTGGCCGCCCGTAGACCTTTATGACGATTGGTTGGTTTACTGGACAGTATCAAAGCTTGCATATGAAACCCGAACACAATGGGAATTGTCATTAACGGATGACTCGCCTCCAACATTTGAGGAATTATCGAAATTCCTTCTCATAAGAGCCCGTTCACTGGAAATGCTTGGAAATTCCGATCCGCCCAGACAATCAAAACCCATAACTAGACAATTGAAGGGGAGTATGAGTGAATTTCGTAGCAGCGCCCCGAGTCAGAGTAAGTGCACATATTGCAACAAAGATCACAAGATCTATCATTGCGATGACTATGACAAGCTGAGTGCAAAAAGAAAGTTCGATGCGATTCGACAAAAGAACGTATGCTTTAATTGCCTCAGTTTAGGACACATAACAACAAGCTGTAAAAGCTCGTCGAAATGCCGAAATGTCATCGCAGTCATCACACCTCAATCCACGAAGCATTCACCGCAAATTATCAATGCAGTTCGCCCGCAAGTCAATCAGCAGTTATTGCTACCCCGCTACCCGCTCAACATACTGCGAATACGCATTTGGCTACACCAAACAACGGCATAGCCGCCACCGCAGAGTATGTTAACAGTTTTAACATAGCTTTTGCCCCTAAATCACAATCCGCAAACATCATCGCACTATTGGGTGCTGCCTTAGTCCGTATCAAGGACGAGTCCGGCAGACTCCAACCTGCAAGAGCTCTGTTTAATAGCGGATCGCACGCAACATTTATAACAGAGGCTTGTGCTCAGCGTCTCCGCATACGGTAACAGGCATTGGAACATCACAGGGAGGAGGTGTAAAAGGTAAAGTAGATTTATTACTTTGTCCTAAAACATCCACTAACCTTTTCAATATCATTGCTCTTGTTTTACAAAAATTGACAAACGATTTACCCTCCGTGGAAATTCCTACCGTGCCCTGGCCACACATCGGGAATCTACGCCTCGCAGACCCATATTTTTATCACCCTGGTCCTATTGATTTACTGATTGGTGTCGATGAAATGGACAAATTTATCATTGAAGGCTTTAAACGGGGACCACCGGGAACACCAATGGCATTTAACACACATTTAGGCTGGATTTTATACGGAAATGTTCTCGCGACCTCTCCTAACCTTCATGTTGCAAATCTGCATTTTGACCTGCAACTCGCTAGAGCCGTTAGTAAGTTTTGGGAAATCGAAGAGCCTTGTGCTAAGAGGCATTACACTGCTGAAAAGTTGGCATGCGAAAAGCATTTTAAGAAGACTCACGGCAGAGCTGACGATGGGCGATTTGTCATTCAATTGCCTTTCAGAGATTCTATGGCATTGGGAGAATTTCGCGGGATAGCACTGCGTAGCTTGAAAGGTTTAGAAGCCAGACTAGCCAACGACGTAAGTTTAAGGGACCAATACAACGCATTCATGGATGAGCTTCTTTCAATGTGGCATATGGAACTGGTTCCTACAACATCTATACCGACGGAGCACTGCTACTACATGCCGCATCATGCAGTATTAAAGGAAACCAGCTCCACGACAAAACTGCGCGTTGTATTTAATGTGTCGATGAAGACGTCTACAGGTCTATCGCTCAACGACACCCCTCATGGTGGGACCGCAACTACAAGATGATATGTACTCGATTCTGCTATGATTTCGCCAACATCGCTTTGCCATGATGGCAGATGTGGAAAATGTATAGGCAGGTGTATGTAGCAGAAAAAGATACGGATTTTCAACGCATCGTTTGGCGTCGATCTCCCGCAGAACGTATCATGGACTACCGCTTACTAAGAGTGACATATGGTGTAGCTTCTGCATCTTATTGTGCTGTAAAATGCATGCAGCAAACTGCTAACAACGCTAACGAAAGCGTTCCCCGCATTATCACCCGCGATTTTTACATGGACGACATGCTCAGTGGGGCCTCCAGTGAGGAGGAGCTACTATCACTACAATATGAAGTATCCCAACATCTATCACAAGGTGGATTTGAACTACGAAAATGGGCAACAAATTTCACAAAGCTCATTGAACGCATTCCACAGACGTCTATGCAAACAACGCATCTGCTTGTGGCTGATAAAGAAGTTCGAACATTAGGTAACATATGGAACACTACAGATGACAGTATCTCATTAGTCGTCAACTGAAAGGCGTTACCGCATAGAATAACTATACGCGTATTCCTGTCCGACACTAGTATGCTTTTCCATCCATTGGGATTAATCGCTCCATGCACGATTCGATCAAAAATATGGATGCAAGAACTGTGGAGCGCTCATGTCAACTGGGACGAAGAAGTGCCTAAGCCTATACTGCGTGAGTGAATAAAACACCGAAATGATCTTCAAAATTTATCAACGTTAAGACTCTGCCGCACTACAGATGACAGTATCTCATTAGTCGTCAACTTAAAGGCGTTACCGCATAGAATAACTATACGCGTATTCCTGTCCGACACTAGTATGCTTTTCCTTCCATTGGGATTAATCGCTCCATGCACGATTCGATCAAAAATATGGATGCAAGAACTGTGGAGCGCTCATGTCAACTGGGACGAAGAAGTGCCTAAGCCTATACTGCGTGAGTGGATAAAACACAGAAATGATCTTCAAAATTTATCAACGTTAAGACTCTGCCGCTGGATTAATACATCAGATACCACAAATACCGAATTTCACGTATTCGCTGATGCTTCAAATCGAGCTTACGTAGCCGCTCTATACGCACGTACTGTTCACCCTGACGGAAAGGTAAATGTTTCATTGGTAACTGCCCGTACTAAAGTAGCACCGGTAAAAACTAAAACGCTACCGCGCCTTGAGCTATGTGGAGCTTCACTAGCAGCAAAGCTTATTCGGAAGGTAAGAGAAAGCATTGGCGGTGGATTTCGAATGTATGCCTGGAGAGATTCAACTGTGGTACTCGCGTGGTTGCACAGCCATCCTAGCCGATGGTCAACTTATGTAGCAAACCGCGTGGCAGAGGTCCAAGATGTTCTTCCCCCTGAAATATGGAATCATGTACACTCAGAGCACAATCCAGCAGATTGTGTTTCTAGAGGCGTCAACGCCAGTCATTTGCTACAACATAATCTTTGGTGGAATGGACCCGATTGGCTACGAAGCATCATACCTACATGGCACCGAAGCAATTCCAGTGAACACTCAACTTGTCTTGAAGCACGCAATATAGCAGCAGCAACGGCTCAAATCGCCAATGACATTGAGTATTGGGATTTTCTTTTCCGGTACTCATCCTTCGACAAACTAGTTCGCATCACATCTTACTTGAGACGCTTTATATACAACATCAAGTGCAAGGTACAAAATTCAACGCCCCGCTACGGATCTTTTACGATTGTTGAATTGCACGAATCCGAGTCGCTATTGGTAAAGTATGATCAACATTTTGTATTTCATCAACAAGTTATTGCTTGCAGAGATAAAAGGATTGTACCGAAGCGTAGCAGTTTACTTCGTTTAAACCCCTTTCTGGACGAACAAGGCATTCTCCGTGTAGGAGGTCGGCTACGCTATTCAAATTTGCATTATGAAGCCCGCCATCAAATTATTTTGCCCAAGAATTCGCCGCTAGCCAAGGCCATCGTATCCGATATTCATTTATACACTTTGCATGCTGGCCCTCGTATCATGCAAGCTACGCTCGAAAGGCGTTTTTGGGTAGTCGGCGCTCGCAGCCTTGTACGCAGAATATATGCCAGCTGTGTGAAATGTACAGAATTGAATCATCGACCAGTTCAACAAATGATGGCAGACCTTCCTGCTAGTCGTTTTTTACATACGGCTGTAGATTTCGCAGGATCATTTGCGCTAAAATATAAGAACTGAGTATATCACGAGCCTTCAGAAACGCGGTAAGTGGTTCCGTCCAACTCCTAACTTTGCCGTTGGTGACATCGTCATAATTCACGACCAATTTGCTCCGCCTACAAAATGGAAGCTCGGACGTGTGATCGAGTGCCGACCTGGCCAAGATGGTCTAGTAAGAGTCGTTCGACTTCAAACCAGAGATGGCCAACTACTTCGCCCTACCGCTAAATTGACTTTGCTGCCACAAATCTTACGACATATACCAAATTATTTTTCTATTATTATATCGTTTCTTATATTACTAATTTTGAACTTAGCCCCGCAGTTCAAGGTGGCCGGCATGTTCGCGCCAATATGGCAACACTGTTTTCTATGTTTTATTTTGATCTTCTATGCTTATTGTATTGTACGTTGTGACATTGATTGACATTGTAAGTCATTGTTTGTTAAAACTCTCTATCTTTTCTCTCTCTCTTGTCTGTTCCTTGATACCGAAACACGTTGTCCGAGTTAGCTTTTACAGAAAGTACGCGTGTAACATAACCTGATTAATAAAATACATTAAAACTAAATTAAAGCCAAAGTTTTATTTTCGCCGCAACAATTACAATTTAGATATTTTAATTTAACACAAACAAATTCAATCTTAGGGTGTTCTGTAACCAAAATACGTTCTGAGGCAATGGAATTATGAACGGCAATGAAATCTCCTCCACCCATTTTATTTAATCTGTCTTTTCTGTAAATGTGGTACTGATCAGATAAAATTTCAGTGTCACGAATTTGTGGTTTTAACCATGTTTCCGTGAATACCAAAATTGTGAAATCACAGTCAAATGATTTTAAATGAATAACTCTAAGTTTAGTGTTAAGACCTTTCACGTTTTGATAAAGAAGAGATAGAGATTTAGTTAGTTTTTTGACAATGGTTCAACTGAAAGGTACCGGTAAATTAACGGGGTTTGTTCTTTCCCTAAATACAAATTCCTTTACCAACAATCCATCCGGCCGGAACGTTCTATAAACTATTAAATTAAATAATTTAGCAGGAGCAATGATTTTAAATGATGAAATATCGCGAGGTTGGAACGTGTTAAATTTAAAAATTTTTATGCCATTAACAGGTAAATTTGGAATTTTTGTTTTTATGTAAGACCTAAGGTTACCAACTGTAGTATCGGGATGCAATCGGGACACAAATATAGTTTTACGCGGCGCTACAACAATAAGTTGATTCGTAGGCAAAGGCATATGGAATTCGTTATTATTGTCTGCAGAAACAGACTTTTCATTTAAATCGGAAGGCGTAGGGATTACATTGCTAATGTCTGCAGAAACAGACTTTTCATTAATAGTATCTGCAGAAACAGATAGATTATTTTTATATTTATATGCAGGAACAGATTTTGTTTCTATAACCACAGGAAGCTTGGCCAGAACGAAAAGCTTAATAGATTTTGCAGTAATAGAAGCATCCTTCAACGGTTCTGCCGAACGTGGAGAAGATAACGTTTGCTTATTGCGTTACGAGTTAACAACAATAGCAGGCGCTAAGAATTGAGAAGCTATAGGTACGCTTTTAGTTTTTCATCAATAGATGGTGGGATGTCCGAGCCAAAAGATTTGGCAGCGTTGTGTGGTTGAGCCACAACTGGCGAATTTAAACGGATCAAATCATCACCAGTTACAAAAACTACGAATTTCTTTCGTTTCGGAGATCCATCCAGGAAAATTATTAAACTTTTTTCCAAAATTCTGAAGCTTTAATAATGCTTCGTCGAACATATTTTTCGCGATCAGTAAGAACATTAAAATGACGGCCATTAAGACCCGCACAAAGTTCATGCTTATCGCATAGCCAACATATTAGTGAACGTTCTTTAAAATTAGTAATTTTGCAATTTTTATTCGAGCACTCCATGTTACACCGAAATACTTAAGGAAACAGTGTATTAGGGAAATATTGTAGTAATCAATTTACAGTAACAGCCTAAGAGTATGCTTAGGAAAGCTTATTTAATAAGTACAGAACAGCAAAAGGGAATCAGGCACAAACGTCAAAGAAAAAAGAAATAACACTACGTTGTAAATAACAAACACAGAAAAGAATTTTAAAACACCAAGAAATGATCAACGCGCACACAATTAAATTTAGTAAAATAGTATAAAAACCCTTTATTTCACAAAAACTTCGCAATTTTGCAAACTATTAGAATGTATATATTTAAAAAATCACAATCTAAAACTTCTAAAAACACAAAAACTGCGAAATTTTAATTATATTTTAATTTGTTTGACGACACACATAAAAAACACACCTAACCCTAAACTATCGAATGTTGCATGGTTTTCAATAAACAGTGTATTTAAGTAAGAAATTTTAATTTTATTGAGTATGCATTGTTTTGAAATGCACCTCGTTTCTCGTCGTTCTAATTTTATTATTTTTGATATTGTGTACACGCTAGAAAACTGCCTACTCTTTATTGTTACAACTGTGAATGTGACCTGCCATGGTTCTAACTAGTATTGGTTTGCGGCGACGCCACTTTCGGCATTATTACTCTTCGTATCGGTCGTCGTAGGTTAGGTTAGGTTAGGTTGAAAAAGAGGGGCAAAACAATTTCGCCTCAAGCCCTTTTGGGCATGCACTTAAGCCAGTATAGGCTAGTTGTGCGCTCTAGTCAGAGGGGTTTTACCGAGGAAGACGTGCAGTTAACAGTCTGTTATAATTGAAATTCTGTTGCCTTTATGAAATTATTTATTATTATATATCATTTACCATGATCCGACTAAGGTCTGGTATAGTGTCGCTCCATAAGAATTGGGCTCTGATATTAGCAAACGCTGGGCATATACAGAGAAAATGTTCCAAAGTTTCGTCGTCTTCCCTGCACGCCCTGCATATGCTGTTATCTGTGCAACCTATCTTGTATAGATGAGCTTGTAGGACCAGGTGCCCCGTAAGGATGCCTGTTACCTCACTGATCTCCTTCTTGCCTAGCAATAAAAGATTCTTTGTTTTTATCTCATTTGGGTCACCCCACAGGATTTTGGTGGTTTTCCCTACGCCCATGTCTTTAACATTAGACGTGACGCTTTTAGCGGCAGTGGATTGTCTAAGCTTACTGCTGCCAATTCCCTGCCTGTTCTAGCGAGAGAGTTTGCTATCTCGTTACCTCTAACTCCGTTATGACCTGGTACCCATATAATGCGAACTAAGCCGTGTTGAGAGTATTTGTTGATTGAGTTTATACATTCCAATACAGTCCGTTAGGACGTTCACGATAGCCGGTCTCGTGTTAGCATTTAACCAGTTCAGACACTCTGTAATCGCCTGGACCTCCGCTTGCAGGATCGTATTGTGATCCGTCAGGCGGAAAGAGATTTTAGTATTCGTTTCTTCGATAAAAAGACCCAGTCCTACTCTCTCCCCAACACTGAACCATCTGTGTAACAACAGTTACCAGTCGGCATCTGTGATGGGAATCCATCGATCCACGAGTCTCTGTTTGGAATTAATGTTTCACAAGAGGCAGCTACAATAGATTCAGATATCCGGTCCGATACAAAGTTTTCTATTGATTCTCCCTTTGTTACCTGTAAGATTCTTTGATGGTAAATAGCGTGGCCTTTGCTTATCCACTCGTCCGTCGCCCTAAGATTTAGGCCGCGACGGTTGCTTCATACCGAATCTGACATCTATGAACTTTGTTTGCTCTTTCCTGGATGTGGTCCCTCCAATTAAGTTTTCTATCTAGAATCACACCCAGATATTTAACCTTATTGGAAATATTGATTGTCCTGTTCAGGAAAACCGGTTCCTCGAAAAGACCCAGTTTCCTTTTCCTGGTAAATAAACATATCTCAGTTTTTTTCCGGTTGACGTTGAGACCTCTCGGTCTAGCCCAGTTATATGCAAGTTTCAGAGCCGACTCGGCCCTTCTGCACAGTAAGTTAGGGTTCTTTCCCCTCAGAAGTATTATAACATCGTCTGCATAGCAGACTGGTTCAAAACCTTCGTTGGTTAAAGTCCTTAGGAGACTGTTTATGGTAGTAACCCATAGGAGGGGTGATAATATCCCTCCCTGTGGAGTTCCTTGACCAACTTTGTCCCTTATGATGACGTCATATAGCCCACAACTTATCCATCTATTCCTTAGCATATGGTTTATCCAGCCCCTTAGGGTCCTGTTGACCTGAAAGCTATCTAAGGATTGGATTAGTGTATCCGTGCTGACGTTGTTGAAAGCGCCTTCGATGTCAATGCATACTGCTAATGTGTACATCTTTTTATCGAAGGTGCTCTCGATGTGGTGTACAACCTCATGTAGAGCGGCTTCCACTGAACGCCCTTTAACGTATGCGTGTTGTTTATATGTAAGCATATCGTTTGCAGTCCTGCTCTTGATCATGGTATCGATTATACGTTCCATGGATTTGAGTAAGAACGATGTTAGACTTATCGATCGATAAGACTTGGGTATTGCGTAGCTTGCCTTCCCAGGTTTGGGTATAAAAACTACCCTGGATTCCTGCCAGGCTTTTGGAGTGTACGCAAATTTTAGGCACGCGTTGAAAATTCTGGGTAAGTTGGACGAAATAACGTCCACTTCCTTTTGGAGCAAAGCCGAGAAGACCATATCTGGACCCGCTGCCTTAAACGGTTTGAAACTTTTGATGGCTTCTTTTACCATCGATTCGTCATTTTTTGGTGCTTGCTCCGTCGCATTCCTTCTATCTTCCGATGTATCCACGTTTGTCGTGACGCTCGGTGGGAAGTATGTTTTCATCAGTAGCCCTAGGGTTTCTTCTATTGTTTCCATCTTGTTACCCATATCATCCACCAATGTCTCGGCTTGTGTATGGGTTTTTGAAAGAAACTTTTTTATTATTGAAACATCATTAACGCTTTCAACCTGTTCACAGAAAAGCTTCCAGGAATTTCGTTTAGCTGTTCTGACTACTTTGTTGTATTCTTTAAGTTTATTATGGTAGCTGTCCCAGAATACTGCCAA